TTGGAGCTGTATTGCCTTAGTGCATTGTGGTGCCATTCACAATGCATGGCACTGCAAGGTGTTAACACGTGTAACATGCATCACTACACAGTGGAAAGATGTGTTTTGGTCCTAAAGGAGACCTGTCAGAGAGACTGACATGGCCCTGTGTGTTGTTTTAGAAGGATGATATCAATAGGATCTGTAAAAGGACAGGCAGAAGGACACTTCTAAAAGCATGAATTGCTATAGAGTCTTTTAGGTTGCAGCTCTGGAACAGAGGGGAAGATAGGAGACATGGGCCACCTGCGAGGTGGCTATATTATCTTTTCTGTTTGTTAAAGCATTCATACTGTGCACATCATTATACTAATACTTGATTGTTGGGACTGGCTGGACAGAAAAATTTGAAATATATGAATAATGCTGACATTTATCATTATTGCATTGTTTTAATAATAACCAAGGATTATGGTGTCTCCTGCAAGAGTCATTGGTCCCGTTTAAAGGACCCATTGACAAGATTCTCCTCATCTTTCTCCAGGACTTCACTAGGAAAAAGGAATTTTCTTACTGGTACTAAGCCCAACCAGAGCAGCTTCTTCTTTACACATTTTAATACACAAGGCTCAGAAACTAAGGAGCACTACAAAAACATTTAGGATAGTTTGGAATTGTGTTTTTAAAGCATGTATTTATAAATCTATTTAATATAGGCATTATGAGCAAAGTTAGGAAAGTTTTTCTAAAAATATACCCCATACCAAAAAATGTGTGAGTAAATCTTTTGATAAGTTAAGGGCTTGCTCACACCAATTGCGGTGCGTTCAGCAATCACACACTAAACTTCCCCCTTCGTTCTGGGGTGTGGCGGTGCATTGAAGTCAATGGCACCACAGCCATGCATCCCCACCCACAGTGCGGTCGGAAATGTGGCGAAACATTGCCTGCGTTCCGTTCCACTGCGAATGCAAAAAATAGAGCATGCAGCAGACCTGTCACACTGCAGGTGGGGGGGGGGGCTGGTTGCGGTGCCATTGCCATGCCCCCTCCCGTCCCAGAACGAAGGGGCAGGTTTAGTGTGTAATTGCTGTGCGTTTCAGCAGCTACCGCTCTGGAACGCACAGCAATTGGTGTGAACAGCCCCTGAAGAAAAATATTTTTTTTCAAGATTATAGTAAACATTCAATGAAATTAAAATGTCACCCTTTAAGTTAACATAAAAATACTTTTTAATATAGAATTTATTATGTGATGTATAAACAAAAATGAATTTTGTCATTATGCATAGATTCTGATTATAATTATTACTTTGATATTTTACTTTTCTGTAGTCATTTACTAAATAAGAAGTCTCTTTACTTATTAATTCCCCCCGTCACAAAGTTTAATTAATAGTGACACCCACATGGCATATGAAGATGATCAGATAGCGAATTCAACATGTTACTTAGTGAGATTGGTGTTAATGTTAGCATATTACAATGTGATGGTAGCTTTAATGTATTCACTGATATTCATCAGATGTATTACCCAGTAGAGCCTGCAGGGGATGAAGAAAGTAATTTCTATGTATGCATAGTTTTAAACTGCAGTGCTCCACTTAGTTACCTGCAATATACACAAGCTTACTGCATGTGCCATATTTATGAAATTGCAGCTAAAATTAGTCATAGACATTAGATGACAGTTGTCCATTAAATATATTGGTTAGAAAATGGAATACAACCAATCACAACAGAACCCTGGGATACCGAAATAGAAAAAAAAATGGAATAAAGTTTTATTATAAAGTGTTAATATAAGTATATATACTTATAACGTTTTTATTCTTTTGCTCCCCTGTTCTCCGTGTGCAGAGATGAACCCAATGCTGCCATTCCCCTGTGTATATTATTTTCAATGTGCACAATAGAAATTTTCTAGTCAAACTGATTTTTGATTTGGATTTTTTCTCATTGAACACATATCATCTAATGTCTACGGCAAGGTAAATATTAGTAATAAAATATGGAAGTACCTTCATTTTAAGCAGCAGGAAGTGCAACACATAAATTACAATAGTTTTTAAAGGGAGCATGTTGCCATATTGCTCTTGACCAGGGGTAGCCAAACTCCGGCCCTACAGCTGTGGTGGAACTACAAATCCAAGGAGGCATTGCAAGATTCTCACAGCCACAGACATGACTCCCGGAGAGAGATGCATCCTGGGATTTGTAGTGTCATCACAGCTGGAGGGCCGGAGTTTGGCTACCCCTGCTCTTAACTGTCTCAGCCAAGGCTACTGTCCAGCCAGCTCTAGGACTAGTGCTAGATCAGGGGCAAGTGTGTTGCTGTATGTTAAAGCCCACTGAGCTGTTGGTTTAAATCGGCTAAATACATTCCAGGTGAATCAAAACAAAAATCGTGCAAAGTCTTAGAGTTTGTTTTCTTTAGGCCTCATTCACACGAGAAAAGGCCGGCACATACAGCTTCGTGCTGCTTGCACGGCTGTATCGGGCAGCCCCCCGGAAGGACAGGTGCTGTGTGTGATTAGTACACAGCCCCTGTCGTTCTCTATGGGAGTACGCGGCAATACGCCGCCCTATGCTAACCCCAAGTGCAGGTCAGAACGGGTGCGGGTACCCCGGCTCGGACGCAGACAGGATCCATCCTGTCAGCGTACGAGTACGGACAACCGCACCTGCACAGACGTGCAGGGCGGGTGAGCGTAGGGAGGTGTTTGGCCGCGTACTCCCATAGAGAAGGGCATGGGCTGCGTACTAATCACACGCAGCACCTATCCTTCCCAGGAGCTGCCCGATACGGCCGTGCACGCAGCACGAAGCTGTACGTGCCGGCCTTTTCTCGTGTGAATAAGGCCTTAGAAAGAAGCCACAGCTTAAGCGCGCCAATCAGCAGGGAGCATAAGCTTTACATATATTGGAGAGCTATAGATCTGACTCAGCCTGGGCATGTCAGATGTCTGCATAAGGACCACTACTTCTATGCATAGAACAAGGGTAATTCTCTACAGTATGCTGGCAGATGACACAGGCTGTGCTACTCAGGCTGTGGCTGCTTTCTAAAGAAAAGACATTGCACACCATTTGTTTTGCTGAACCTAAAATGTATTTATCCAATTTAAAGTGAAAGTTGCACATGTATGCCCCTGGAACTATCACCCAGGAGTCTGATGATAGCAGCCATTCGGACTGGACTAGAGTTTCAACTTAGATGGAGGTAAGGAATGATGGGAAAAGTTTCCTATAAACATTTTTCCTCCACAGTAAACTAAGTTAAGACTTATTCATACTTGAGCATGCACGTGTTCCAACAATAAGGTCTTATTTCTAAAGATCCCTCCATGAAGAAACCTGCTCCAAAACAACAGTGGAAGCTTTACATTTTATATAGTCTAGCCACTACCCA